TAAGGCACTGCCGCAACCGCACAAAAGTCATCATTGAGTGACCAATTTGGAAGGCTTAATTTCTTTTGTGGCGCATTGTGGTATCGGTGAGTTGAGTGTCGCTGTGAACTTTTATGTGACAAAAAATTATCACTTTTTGCATTTATGGCTTCTTGAATTCGAAGGCATTTAGGTAATCGTCGGTGTTACAAGCTGCCACTCTTGCGTCGCCAGCGCGAAGTCGGCGACGGGAATGACAGCAGGTTGGTTCGTTCCGTACGCAAGCAGAGACAGTGAAGAGATCAGAGACGTGAGAAAACAAAACAAACTTTAGTCTAGTGATATTGCAGCACACGGGATGTAATACAACACTTCAATACAACTAACAAAATACATCAACACTTGGTACAACTAAAAAATACATATAAAAACAATAAATCAGCTTACGCGAGAGAACCTATTACAAACTACACAAACTAACACCCATAGACTACGGGGGAGAAAGTTCGAAGATATAAACAGGTGAAGGCATACGTGTGATGACCGGCCGCGTTGCGTCCTCGACGATTGGATGCGAGAAGTCGAAGAGAGTTCTGGCACGACTGCGATGCCGGCGGTGTTGCAACGCTGGTGGCTCCGGGAGGCTAGTGCTTGCAGGTGACTTCGAGCAGGTTGAGCTATTTCGAGGCGAAGTCCCGACTGTCTACGTTGCAGACCGTTCATATCGCGTCACAACTAGACGAACGGCTAAGTTTAGGTGGCCAGCCGATACAGAGCCACACTAAAAACTTCTAGAAGAGATGCTTGTTGATCTGTTTCTACACCATGTTGGTCAGCGACTAGTCTGCCTAGCAGGGCAAAATCCTGCGCTTAAATCCCCCTCGTGTCTCCTCGCTCTCTTTCTTGGGGACAAGAGACCTCTACATGGGTTCAATCATGCGCGTTTAATTGATGGAAACTCCGCCCCAAAAATATTTTGACCCCACCCCTTTTTAATTGGGAGAGGGCCCTCAACTACTGAGAGTGACAACCTGTTGGGTTGTTGTCATATGGCTTGGCCACCAGAGGTTTTCCCACGCTTTTCCCCGTGGGAACGGTCAAACCGTTTGGCTCTCAGCCGGTGCGTCTCGTAGTCTAATCCTTGTTCGGGGTACATCGCGGCCTTCTACGACCTTGCAGACGCCGCCGCAGTTACAAAAGGATCAACCGTCGGCGGCGACGTTCTAAGAAGAGCACCCCATTTTGCACTTCTCGGCTTCCTTTCATGCGCCCGCCGTTCTCACGGTCAGTGGGGGAGTACGGCGCCCGTTAATTGCCGTGACGCGGTGTCGCCAAAAATGGCCGTCCGTGCCAGTCGGCGATTGCAGATGCAGCTAACAACAGCATAAACGTTTGCTGCTGCAAAAGCTGACCACAAGTTTTCATGCTGCTTCCTGTTTCTTTTTATTTTTTGCTCACCATAGTTCTGCCAGTGAAGAAACATCTGCAAAGTGGGTGACCTCACTCGTGGCATCCGAAATCTGCGTGTGATGCTCGCCCCTGTCTACAATATCTTCAACTGCAACTAAACCACCATGGGGCTTGCGTGAGTGCTAGACTTTCATGTGCTTTATAATGCCTGTATTCATATTTTTTTTCACTTAGTATGTGCCATATTTTCACCGCAACCGTGTTGGAAGTGTTCGTTGCAAAAGTAGGATGCTTTAAAAATACTCGCTATATGTGCAAGCAGTTTCAACGGGCAGCATAGGTAAATTGTAAGTATACGCTGACATATGGCTGTTATAACCGATAGATCATTATATCTGGTAATGTTATAAGTGGGTTTGACTGCATGTATGACTCAACAATAAGCATCATTAAATTGATACCTTCTTCAAATATATCTTCAACTTGCATTAAAGATACTATATAACGTGCCTTCAGTTGACATTAACATGAAAAAACTAATATGTTTTCTCTGAACCCTTTATGATTTTGTCAACATTTTCACGGAGGTTTTGTAGTGTCAAAGTTGCCTGGTAACTGATTAGCTATTTTCTGTAACTGGTTCGTATTTCTGGCACTCATATACAGTATTGACGCAAGTCCCATTGCCGGCATGCAGGTACAACCAACATGTATTGCAACTTCATACAAGTTCTTCACACCCACATCACTTTCTCACGGGCTTCAAAATACCATACAATCGTATAATCTGAATAGGTAGCTTCCCCTTCAACTTTGGCTGGCATCGATTTTCTGTCCACTGATCTGGTAGGTCGCATGACACGACCAGAATCTGAAGATTGTAGCTTGAGAGCTATTGCCACAGAAGGACATTAAGGACGATTGTGACTGAGCCATATGTGTGTCCAATGACTGTCAAAAATTTTGGCCAGCGCCACAGCTCAAGGGTCTAGCTTTATCTCATTTGCATATCTGAAATGTGTGTGGTTAGTAATACATTTAAAAAGAGGCAATAGTGCAGTAAAAGCAATGCATGCAAGGCCTCAAGGAAAGAACTATTTTAGCGACAAAGTTTCCCAAGTTCATAACAAAGACTGCTATTTTTTTATTTTCAATTCACTAAAAAAGAAGAAAAAATATTCTGCTAGATACTTTTGTTCAATTGCTTGCGTTGAGATGAACTAGAGTAGAGCTGTGCAAATAACAAAATTTTGGGTGAGATGCGAATTCAAGTATTGAAGTGTGAGTGCCAATCATTCAAATAATTTTCAAACATATTTTATTAGTTTCCAAATATAAAATAAAAATATAGAAAAAGGATTTATAAGCATATTCTTATGAGTGAAAGCAACATGTAAGTGTTTTTGCTAGGTTGATGAAGCACTGGCAGGGTGGCACTCCATAGTTATCTTGTCAATGATGATGATATCTGGTGTTTAACGTCCCAAAACCATCATATGATTTTGAGAGACACCGTTGTGGAGGACTCCGGAAATTTAGACCACCTGGGGTTCTTTAACATGCACTCAAATCTGACCACACGGGCCTACAGCATTTCCGCCTACATCGAAAACGCAGCCATCGCAGCCAGAATTTGATCCCGCGACCTGCGGTCAGCAGGCGAGTACCTTAGCCACTAGACCACCGCGGCGAAGCAGTTATCTTGTCAAGAATGAGCCAATGCTGAGGTCAAATTATATTTAGGCACATGATTTACTGCAACCATAATGTTGCCAACACTTTACACATGAAAGGTAAAGAAGCCCTTTCCTGATCCTCTTATCCTCTTCCAACTTCTCCGGAAGCCCAACTGATGTGGCAGACGAGGTTATGCTTCCTTCAAGTTAGGAGTTCCAAATCTGCCTCGTATATTTTAACATACTAGAACATTTGAAACTTTCAAGTGCTAAAAATTTTCAGCAGTCAAATATTTCAGACTTGTTGCCCAAATTTCAGGTCCAAAACAGCATTAATTAAGCCCGAACCTCTGCCACATCTATAATCTCCATGCTGAAACCGCCTTTTTTTTTAAGTCAATACATTTGCAATAGTAGCAGGACCTGAGAAGCAGATTTCCCCTAATACAGGAATGTGACAAGATAAAGGAGTAAAAAATCGTAAGGGGTCACTTCTAATCAAACTGTATTTGTATAAAAATGTCAAATGTAGCGCAACCTGAAAAGCAGCTCTGTCGCAATACGAGAATGTGTTAAGGTAAAGCGCATTAAAGATTTGAAGGGGCCTTTTTTAATTGAACGTTGACTGCATTTGCCTTTGAAATAGTTCGAATAGTGAAAATTTCTATGCGAATAACATCGAATAGCAGACATTTTTTGAAAGATATTTGAAATTTCAAATATTTGCACGCCCCTAATTATTAGCCTTCGTGCCTGTGCTTTTTTTGTTATCTGTTATGATGCAAAAAAAAAAAGGTTACTAATGGTTATATTTCCTAATGCTAAATGCGACTGAAGTTGTGTGCACATTTTTATTTAGCAATATACTAAGCGAAAAATTTGAGAGAGGCATGCATGTATGTACGGTTACAGACTACTCTTTTTTTTTTTCTTTCAGTTTTTCTGTTTTATTTTGGTTTTCATTAGCTTCAGCTGTTCTTATTTTGCATTTTATTTATTTATTTATTTATTTATTTATTTATTTATTTATTTATTTATTTATTTGTAAATACTGCCAATCCCAAAGGGATCATAGCAGGAGGGCATATACAATAGTTGAATACAACATAACACAAATATTGATACAATGGAAACAAAACTAAATATAAAAAAAGCGCAACACAACAGCGATTAGTGGCACAATAATATAAAGAAAACAGGCTCGCATAATAAAACCGTAGGCAAGGGAAGAAAAAAAAGGAGAAAAAGAGAAAAAGAAAAAGCATTCTGAGATTATGGTGTAAACATTTTTATACAGTGGTGCTTTAGAGCGAGGCGACAAATGCATACTGTGGGGTTTCTGGTATTAGAAAGGAAAAAAGTAAGAGAGACAATGCATGAAGAACTGTGACAGGTGTAGTTTCATACATCAATAGAAGGGGGAAAACAACAACAACAACAAAAAGAACTGTCTGACAGGGTTCAAGGTACGCTTTCAAGTGCAGTTAAGAACTGTGTTAGTGGTGTGCTTTCTATGATATGTAAGGGAAGGTTATTTCATTCTCTTATGGTCAATGGAAAAAATGAATTTTTGAAACAGTCGGTACAGAAGGTGTATTCAGTGAGCATCTGCGTATGGTTATGTCTGGTAGGGCATGTTTGCAGTTCTTATTGTTTTTGTTCTTTGTTTTTTGTTTGCACAGTGTCTACTACATCTACAGAGAACTCCTAAAATATATTTTGAATTTTATTTTGTATTTTTGTTGATAATTGATTACAGATTTCTGTTATGGCAGTGGGAACTGCAGCGTAAAAGAAGAGTGTCACGTCGCTCGAGGCACATCAGCAAGAACATTTCTTTTTTTCCCTTCACTTGGTCATAGCGAGGTCCACGCAACCCCATTAAATCCAGGGACAACGATCACATTTGGTGTTCCACCACTACCGTCGACATACCTGTGCCATGGGGCTGGTGCCGGGTGCGGGCAGTGCCGCAGCAGCTGCAGCCGATGCCGGGTGTCGCAGGTTTCCCCCGTGGGGTCCCCCTGCCAGGGAGGAGAGCAGCTCGTTCTGTGCTACTACCGCCTGGAGGCGCGAGCGACGCGACGACTGTGCCTGCAGCCGCAGGCTCTGAGGGTTGGCACCCCATGTCAGCAGGCGCCCTGATGACAGAAGCGCCAGCTGCACAAACGGCATCACAGCACAGCTTCGTTCATACATTTAACAAAAACAATGCAGAAGAAAACATGCTAGCAGGGAAAGAATACAATCTTAATAAGCTAGAACATTGCACAGTTCCACTTGACAACGATATTGCGTTAACTGGCACTAAAAACATACATTACATGAACATATCAACAAGATTCTAAAGTATTTCACAAAAAGCAGCTGAACAAGAAGAACACACAGCACAGCTCTTGCAGAGAAAGCTCTTTAATTTGCAAGCTCTTTAGAACCAAGACACGACAGTTTACAGGAACACGAGCCGTAGTGCGTGCCCTAAATCGATGGCAAACATGTCCAATCAAGGTAACGGTGAAGTATGAAACATACGAAGCTTTCCCAATCAACAAGAAAGTAAAGGCCTGTGTCAGTGACCCTTTGACTGCTCTCCTTCAAAAGGAGATTGCATAGTTCTCACGCTAGATGGCGTTCTCTTGACAAGTAGTGGACAACATAGTTGGTTATTGCAATGCACTTCATGCATTATTTAAGTTGCACTTGAAGCATATTTCATCTTATATCTGTATTATCTTAGTAACTGTACTCACATGTATTTTTCTTTTCATGCTTTTTTATTTTCTTTGTTAGCACTACTAGTCATAAATTCAATTGGTATCCCTATCCTGCGAAAATCCCATAAGGAGACTGCAGTACCTGTGAAAAAGTCACAGCTTTGCCGCAACTGCGAAGCAATAAACGCGATAGCAACAAATTGGAAGGTCACGCGCAGAATGGCAAGCAGATCGAAATGTGCCCCACGTTTCTCATGCACTAATGGCGCACGAAACGTACTCACAGATACAGATGCACGCGAATAAGCGTCTCAGTTGTTACTTCGCTGTGTCTGAAAAGCATGCGCTTTTCGCAAACGGAAACTGCAATGACTGCGGTGACCTTTGTGCACCCGGTAACTACAACCGAATCGTTCCAGGTATAGCCCGAGGCCAGCCAAGACGTACGATCCTCCCCTCCTCCCCACCATTAGACAAGGGTGTGCGAGGGAGCTTCACTCCTCTCCTCTAAACAAGCAACGTACGGGTGGAAGATTAGAGCATGCCGCCGTTCAATGTGGCAACGCGTGTTCATTGTGCCATCTAGCTGGTAATGCTGAAAACATGATAATTCCCCCCGAAATGCCCGTTAGCAGCAGAAAGTGGTCGATATAAACAGCTCGTCATTTGAACGTTGAAGGACAAGCTCCTCAGTGGCTCAGTGGTTAACGCCTCGCACTCAGATTCAGAGGACTCAAGTTCAGCTCCACGTGCCGAAGTCTCTCTTTATTTCTTTTTTTATTTCTTGCATTTTCATATATATATATATATATATATATATATATATATATATATATATATATATACATATACGGTGAGTGACGGCGACGCCAACGGCAAATTCCAGCCGAGAGTGTCCATATAATTGCTATTGCAATAATAAATAAATAAACAAATACCCTGCTTTTAGTAGATATGGTGCACGATATCCCATTGTCATGCAAACTTTCATATGTAGGATTAATGGGGCATTGCCTCTATGATTGCTTACATGAACATGTGTGTGACATCCTAACTTCTACTGAAAGCACCACCATAGCTACGCAAGCTGACCTTCATTTGCAAAGTGCAACGCGATAAGCTAGTGTGTGTGTATATTCAGAGGGAGACAAGCGCTTCAAGAAGCCTTCGAAATTCACAAAAAAATAAGGATGTGTCAGCTCTCCGTCTGTTGCCCTTTCGCAAAAAGGGATCTCTTTTCTCGAGAGCAGAGTGCAGGTGCTAGGGTGGAGAACATATAGGAAGCCAAAGCAACGCATGGTGGCGCTGCGACTCTGGACAGGCAGCGCCATCTTTGGTAAAAAAGTATAAATTGGGGATGTAGATGGCGCGTTTTCCCTTCACTCCAATGCTCTGCCGCTCGCTTACGTGTTCGTGCAGAGAGCGCACGCTGCATTGGAGTCCCCTCACAATGTACAGCCTGCAATACGGCTTCACAAAGATTTTTGAGCTGGACAAGCACATCCGAGAAGTGAATCGAACAAAAGGAGTAAAGATCGTTAGTCAAGTTTATGGTGTGGAGCAGACGACGGAAGACAAGGACATCCGAGTCACGGGGAAATAGATTTCTCGGGTCCTCCATGATAATACCGTGTATGACGTATGCCTCGAGGTAAATCTTATTTTGCCGACATGAAGCCGCGTATTTTATCGATGTGCTGTGTTGGCGTATATGGAAAGCCATATAATTGTTGTTTTGGTGTGGTATCTAGCAATAGCACCCGTGTACTGTCATATGCAAACATTAGCAGCATGCTGAAAAAATAAACAAAAACTAAAGTTATACAGTCATGGCATCAAAATGTCCGAGAACTTTTAGAGTCATGTCCTCCGTGCCGCGCATGACCCACTGACGTTGCCGCAAAGCAGCAAGCTAAGTTTAACCACAGCGAAACAAGTTGAAGTTCTCGCCCCCCCCCCCCCCCCCTTATTTTTTTTCTGGTTCCCGGGTCATGCTTGCTTCATCTTTCGCGAACGCGGTTGTGTTTGCCGGCTGTGAGTAGATGGGAAACTTATACAGCTTTACACATGGAGAGCGTCCCTTGTTGTTTTCTGCATTGCTGTGGCAGCCCACAACACTATACTTCAGACCACGCCGACGCTTCCATTGGGCCGCTTCTTCCATTGCAAAAAGGCAACTTTGCACAGCGAGAGTCTCGTTCTAGCGTGCCAAGCTGACAGGCACGGCACCTAAGTTCCCCGCAACGACTGCAGAACGCGTTGCGCGCATGTCGCACAAGATTTTGTTTCGGCTAAACACACTCACTCGCCTGCGACCTTTCCCGCGTCTCTCCTCAAGTGTTCCAGAGCTCGCCACCAGGGAGAGGCGTGGCTTTGTCATCGCTTCGCAAACTTGAGCTTCAGTTCACTATTACTTAGAGGGGGCGTTTCGCTTTGCTGATCACGTAGGTTTTTCGTCCTTCCTTTTTCTTTTTCCTCTCGTTTTTTTTTTTATGTCTCATGACAATAAATTCAGTTGTTAGTCAGTACTGTGTATGCGTGCTTCTGGTAATTTTTTGTCCTGTCCAGGTGCGCTGTTTCATGTTCATTCACTACTGCCCACAGTGCTTTTGTGCAGTTTAATGCATTAGTGCAATCCATATCAAATCTAAACAGTGTAAAAGCCCATTATTTAAACTGAATCATTTCGAACATACAATTATGTTGAACTGACACCCTTGCCCCAGCACAGTCCTACAGGGGAAAATTTCCTATACTAATTTGAACGCGTCGATATCCACAATAGAATTCAAACAGGGAAGCCGTAGTTTTCATCGCTTGTCGCAGAAGTCAGCCCAAACTGATCACAATGTGTTGCAAAACAAAACCAAATTTACTAGAGTCACAAAACAGCAGCATTTCTCAGCAGATCAGAATTTCGATGCTGCACTGGAGCTCACTGAGTGGCAACAGAAGTTCAAGCAAACGCAAGTTACTGATTTCTTTTCTTTCATTGTATTAAAGCTCATACATGAATACATCTTAGTGCTTGTTTCCGGCGCATCACAGGCTGATAAATTAATGCTGTTTACTATACTTAATTTATATAGAGCTGTGGGCATCAGAGGCATGCCCGTGACCATTTTCGGGCATTTTCGGCGTACTGCCGCTCCCCTTGCCTCCTGCAGTGCTCTCGTGACGGTGCGTGGCGATAGATGACACCACGCCCTATCGCGAGAGCACTGGAAGAGGCAAGAGTAGCTACAGTATGGCCAAAATGCCCGTAAAATAGTTGCAGGCATGCCTCAGAATCCCACAGGGCCTAATTCGCAATAACGATTCCAGAGGAGGCTTCTTTATGTTCTGGCCATACAGTGTGGCACAATGTGCGTTCATTCTAGCACCCGCCCGCTAATTGAAACTCCACTTCACTAGAACAACTTTATAGTTCCCTTCGTGTTCAAATTAATGAGCTTTTACTGCACAACATAATATGTGCAGAACATCTGTTGAATCCGACACTGCCTAGCTTCAATCATACACCAGCTGTGTGCTTTGCCTTCACAGTCAAGACCATGTGAAGGCAAGGATTGCTGTCCAACGAGGAGTATATGCAGAGAAATAAGGGCTATCACAGTGGGTTGGCTCCAATGACACCTTAGGTCTAAGAATGCTTTACCTCTTCAAACATCCATTTTACTCTTATAGGGATAAACACTAACATTCACACTTAATTGCAACACAAAACAGGATTAGCAGATTAGCAGCTGTGAGAGTAAATATTTACATGGCGCTTTGTGTTCTATATATAGCACACTAATGAGATTAAAACAAAAATAAAGAATCTTCACAGTTGTGTGCAACTTTGAAAAATTTCAACTTTGAGACATTTCATACATCAAAGACAAAGAAGTTCGAAGTTTTCACACAATTCAGAAGTCCAAGAATCCTGGTATGCAACTGTGTAGGATGTACTTGAGGTTTTGCAAGGTCACCATTTCGTGTAAACCTGGCCGCTTTACACACTACATTACTAGGCTTGTGCGAATATTTGAGCACCTCATATATTTAAATAAATATTAATGCATTCAAATTTGCTTCAATTCAAATTAAAGTTTTGGAAAATTTCCAAGTATTCGAAGTGAGCGCCTAGATGTATAGTGTTAATCCGCATGTACTCCTCCTGCAAAGATGGTTTCACTGCAGTAGAAAAGTGCTGTACCGTGAGTACACTTTTTTCAGGGCTAATTTGCACTGCCGCAGAGGCCCACTTAAAGATTAAATTAACATATTATCCCCGCTTCTATTCTTCCATTTTTAGTTTAAAAACTTTTTACGCTGGTTTATACTATCTAAGTATAGTAAGCTTTCATACGTCACATATTTTACAGGACTACGCTCCGCAACAAAGCGTGGGGTCATTAATCGCCGCGTGAGTGCCTTTAAGACGCCGCTGCAACGTGGCCACAGTCCCCCCTGAGGAAGGAACTAAGTCAGTTTTAAAATGTCGGGTTTTTACTTGTTTTCATGTACTTTACTTTGGTTGGAGTTAAAGTAGTGTTTCTCAGTTTACCGACCAAACCAGACCGACTTCTGTCTAATGTTTACATTCCAGTTACCACTCGCATTCTATTCAAAGTCAAATCCTGCCCCTATTCAAAGCTTCCACTTCCCTTGAGCCAAAAAGAATGAAATTTCCACCTGCCTTGTATCCATTTTCGAAAAATGTTGTGCTGGTTAGTTGGGTCATGACAAATATGCTCATTTTTCTTTATAATATGCGACATATACAGTTTGAATTTCATTTGAAATTATTTGAACTAAACCACTGTTCGCTTCGAATTCAATTCAAACCTAAATTCGCACTAGCTTATACATTACACACAATGCATGCCACTCTGCCAATCCTGGTATGAGTAGAGCAAGCACATTGCCATTTGAAGGCTGCATTGCTATCTGTTCTTCCGAACGAATACTAATACAGAGTGTCCTACCCCCAAGAAAGCAGTTGAACTTGCTTACATAGCTTTGTCTTGTCCCATTCCAATCTGCCTTGTCCACATTGCACTACCACGTGTGTAAACTGCATCCACATTCTCTCCAGCAACACCACAAAAAAAATAAGCAAAAGCAGTACTGCAATGGTGACACCCCCCCTGTGTTCCTGTTCTCTGTTCCCCTAGCCAGGTCAGGCATAACAGTGAGCGAAACGCCTGGCCTACCACTTGGAAGAATCCCGAGCAGAGCAGTCGCACGGGTTCGCTGAGGTCAAGCCGTTGGGGGTTGCTCTTCTTGGGTGTACGGCCCAGTCCCAGCTGGCCAAAAAGGTTGCATCCAAAGGTGAACACCACACCCTGTGCAAGTACGGAGATACATCATACAGGTGGCTGTAGAATTGTACTCAAGAAGACTCAATCTAGCGTGTGACCAATGGCATGCAAACATTCTGTATTCAATGCTTTAACAAGGTATCTAAGCACCTGGAAATATGAGCGAGTAAGTGAACAAGGGCTGATAATACAAGAATGAAAGCTTGTCCTTGTATTCTCGCAGTTCTTGCTCAGTTATTAGGTAACATGAATCACCAACTCCTCCAGTCAGTCATTATGTCTTCAATCACATGTTGATGGTGCTTTCAAGCAACTATTAAAAGGGCCTCGCCGCACTTTGTGCTGGTCAGAAAACTTGGTCAGAAAACTTGGTCAGAAAACTTGGCCAGAAAACGCTGCCGGTCAGTAGTCGAGGCTCCCGAGAGTACATGAGCTAAATATTATAGCGTGGCATGTGATCTGCAATTTACAGTAAATTCAGAAGGTCAGCCAAAAATCGCTCCCTTTCCTCTCTACAAATGATGTCATATAGTACATACTCAAATTACTGCAGCCTATACGCAAGTTGACGACTGTTGGCTGATTTGAGAATCGTGTGCTGCATAGTTACCGTGGCTACAGCAAAATGTCACCGCATGCCCACTCGCATCCACACTAACAGTAAGCCATGCCTTGGAAGGAAAAGAAAGTGCTAAAGGTCATGACGTGCGTGAGATGTACATTCTTCCCCTTGTGCAATCCCTTCCTGCTGAGCTTCCAGCACGTTCGGTCGGAATGAGGGAAGAGAGAAAGTGATCAACTGTGCAACAAATCTCTCTAAATCTGCTTGTACTTGACAGATTCTAAACATCCTTGTGGCCGCTGATTCGTGAGGCAATAGATTTCTTTAGTACAAAAGTGTCTCATGGCCGTTTGAGTAGACAAATGTATCATGAAAAACAGAAATGTAGGAAGGAAAGGAAGGGCCAGAAGCACTGTAACAAGACACATTTTCCTAAGCGCACCGCTGCTGTACCGCTTCTGTGGGAACAGGTAAAGGAGAAAAAGAGTTGACACCTTATGGATTCAAAGAAATGGGAGGGCATAAGTGACAAAGAAGTAATCAGGATGGACAGGAATACTTGTGTACATGTACATTTCTTTACAACAGCAGGTGTCTAGACTTCACCAATGAAAAACTAGTGATACTATCGAGGTCTTCTGTTTTCGAGCAATTTTCGGAAAAGCAAAATTTTCACTTTGGAGAAGAAAATTTTACATCTGCGAGCACTCTGGAGCAGCTGATTTATTATCCTGGCGTACACTGAATATGCAAGTTGCATCTATGTTCAAGGACATGAATGATTATTTTTTGGGCTCTTGTAAAAATATAAAAATACTTCGATTCATCGAAAATCTCATGGAGACAATAATCTTAGGAGTACTTCCCATTTCCCTCGACTAGGCAAGAATTATGGTGTCATGCAGTTGAGCATTCTAGAACAACTTGTTCAGCGATTATTTTTGTAGCAAAGAAAAAATATATGCTCAATAAACTTGTATTTTATGAAAAAACATTCTAAATACACCTATGTGGTTATCAACAGACATGGTAGACAAACGCTGCAACATGCCTCAATGCTAAAGACCGACACTGTCAAAAATGTATTCCCCTAAGACGACTCCACGAGAGGAGGTTTTTTTTTTTTTTTTTTCGTGATCAATCATATTGCTGGGCGTAAAATAACGTCATTAGCTAGCCTCATAAAGCCAACTTCCTCCGACACAAGCTCCCCCACTCTCTGAGGCCTCTCTGTCGTAGAGCCAGAGTATTGTCACAATGCTTTTAGACTATCATTTGCGCATGCGTTTAGTTGTCCAGATATGGAGATACGCTTCAATCAAGTGTCCACGAAAGTGTTACTAAGTGTGTTCAAAAGTGATATACATGGTTAAACAAACTTCGTACTCCTTTTGCAGCAATGTTTTATATGACTAGGGCATTCTGTCTGTATACCAAAAGCCTCCTTGAGCCTTCTAGAAAATAATGAAAAAAAAACAACATCACAGGTTAACTTATACATTCGCCTAAGATGACTCGAAGATGAAAGCTATTTTGTGTTTATTGCAATTGCAATTAAAAGACATTCTCGACTGCTTTTTTTTTTTGCCATTGCCATCTCGTTTTGTGTAATGTCCAAATAAATAACACCCCTACACATGGTGAAAAGCACGCGAGCTTGGGCGACAAACGTGGCTGAAACAGAGATAAAAAGAGCCGACTTATTTCCGTTGCATGGAAAGCGCATGCGATCACGTCAGCTCGCATGCAAGGTCTGCTATCAATTGCTGCTCAGGCAGAAAGGAAACACCCCACCTGTGTTCTAGGAGTATGAAGGAAAGCAAAAGGGAGAGGCTGTTACTAGAGCAGCAACTGTGAACTTTCACATTAAGGACACGATTGCGATTGCTGGCAAGCACGCTACTTCGACAAGCATCACAGACAGCTACACGAAAAGACTGTGCGAAAAGTGCTTCGCTTCCTGGAGCGGCCGTATAGAGGGAATGCACTGAGCCTTTATCCTCAAGGCGGCAACACCATCGTCACGTCATTTTGGAGGTCTCTTCGTACGCATTGTTTGTACTGTACATGTATTGGCGCACAAGACGTGCTCCAGGGTACTCTAGTCATCCCCGTTGTCGTACGTATCTCAAACGCAGCGCGTGCAGCAAGCTTTTTGTGCGTGCAGTGAGTGTTCTAACCTTTCAAATGGTTAGAACACTCACTGCTCACCAGCGCTCCTCATGGATGATGTCAAGCCTTACTTGGTATAACAATAAAATTTGTTTGTATCACATTCATTGCCAAGAGCTTAAGTTAAACAAACAAACTGTATCTTTCGTACCCGATCTCGCATAACTCAACAAAATGCTGGTTAAAAGGACTATGGCCACTCCAGGTGCTGAAGCGGTTTTTGTGCTGTCAGTTTTCTAAATGCAACGCAGATGTTAATAGCACTGCAAGTACCTATACGGGCTGTCTCGGAAAGCCTCGAGATCGCATGCACGAGAAAATGCGTCCTTCGAGCGATGCAGCCTCCTTCTCCCCTCTTCCAGAACAAAGCAATGAATGATGATGTTACACCTTGATGATACATAATTTTTTTAACCACCAGCTATTGATCCTGGAAAACATGGGGCGGACGTGTAACATGGCGTAGCTGTTTCACAGTCGGCCTTGTGACACCACAGACTTCAGCAATGGCCTGCTACTGAAAGCTTAAAAACAGCTTAAAACAGTTTGCAGCTGTCTCAAATAGGAGACATGCTTTTATTAATGAGATGGCATCTTTAAAAAAAAACACTAAATATTCAAATCCATACCCTAGCACTCACGAGCCTGAAAGAGCAGGTTCTTTTGGGGCCATTACCTCAAGAGCAATAACAAAGGCAGACGTGCTAATGAAAGAATCACGAAAAAGCTCTTCTGGATGAAGGGCTGCTGGTAAAGTATACTTGAGGAAAAGTATCAATGCATTCACACCGTTCACATGCTCGTCTGTGGATCCAAAGCACAGCAAATATGATCGTGATGTCTAGAAATAGACACAAAAGACATTTTGGCATCACGCGTGCAGTTATAAGTGAAAATTGATTTATTTACGTGCAGTGTAACTGTTGAAACTGGCTATCAGCAGCATCTCTTGAACAGACGATGTCCACAGAATAAATCGCCGCCACAATAACACAGTACCAATGGGCCTACATGCCACAAGTCGCTGCAAAGAGGGAACTTGCCGTTAAGCCATCTTGCACAAAAAAAGCTGTGTTGGTGCCAAGAATAGCATCATAGATTAATTGGGACACATGCCCGACCACTGTTTATTTACTAAAATAATTCTATGTATGTGGTCGCAACTTTGGTGGCCCCGAGAACAAGTGGCACATCTTTTGACATGCTGGTGTGGCTATTGCAGAATGACAGACACTCCTAATTCGAGACTTGAGTGCAGTTTGGGGCGTTTTCCATCTATACAATCAGGACGATCAAGCAAATCTAATTTGGCACACTACAGCGCAGTTAGCACAAGAGTGCAATCACCGCAAAACTAAATAAACACTGATTCTGTCAGCAGCCACTAAGCTTCCAGTACCCGAGTATGGAAAAGAAATACTTTTCAATTTACTGATAGTGTTAGTTTGCTTACAAGAGCAGAAGCCCAAAAATGGTAATGAGTTATATTTTCTGCATCAAAAGTCAAGACTGTAGCCAGACAATGTCAGAAAGGGCACTCTGGAGACACTATACTCAAGCACACCCATGCACATATGAAAGGATGCCTACTGTCACTGCTCACAAAAAGTGACAGGCGCATAAACACATAGGAGTGAGATTTCACAAGCAATGCAATGGTGTACAGATTAAAAGGTGACAATTTAGGGCAAAGTAATGCACATGTGAACTTTCATCTCCACCATCTGTCGTTTGTGTCACATCAGAATAACTTCAGCTCAAGTACTGACATCAGGATCAACATCAGCTTTAGGGACCCCCTTTGGAGAAATGGGACACAGTTCACTTGCGTGATTGTGCCTACAAATTATTACAGTTTTGGTGTCGCGTTTTAACCTGTGACAATGTACACACAGGGAAAGAATCTCTGGCCAAAAGTAATGAAGCTGTGTCGCACTGTGGATATAACAAAATTGATCAATTCCAAGAAAAATTCATTATAAAAGGATTTCGGTATATGCAGGTTCGGTACGAAAATTAGAAAAATAACTGCGCAACTTAAACCATAGGGAGACTGAGAGCAGAACTAGCAAAAAATACTTTATACACTAAAAAACTGCATTATTATTGTGAAAGCAATTATATGGACACACTCGGTGGGTTTTCGTCATTGCTGCCATGTTATTTATATTTATATATATATATATATATATATATATATATATATATATATATAAGTATAAATTGATAACATGCCCCTGCACATTGTAACTTTTCATGAGCGGGTAAAAGCGCGGGAACACTGCTGAAGCAGAGATCAAATGAGTTGGCCCATCCCTATCGCCTGCAAAGTGCATAACATCTCCCGCATGTTAGAACTGCCGTCGAACTAGGATTCGAAGGGCAGTCGCGATCACTGGTGCACTTGCTATTTTGGCGAGTATCAGTGCGTTTTCAACGCAAAGGAACTGTATGAAAAGAGCACTTCTCCCTGGAGCGGCCATATTCGCTCACACCAGCGTTTTGTACGACTTCTGCGATATCAGATCCAAAAAAGTTCGCTGCCAGCCTTAAGGCCAAACCTCATAAGCGCGAAAATGCACGCGACAGCGACAAGCGACACGACGTAGATCGGCTTCGCGCGATCAGTCGCTAGCGCAGGCAAAACTCATTCACGCGACGGCTTCGGCGAGCGAATTCCACTGTTGCTGGCATGAGGCCGTCTACTCGCACCAAGAAAACCACGGAGCGAGCGGTATGCAATTTAAAAATAAAATATATTGTTGTGTAATGAAATGGAAAGTGTTTATTATTGCCTTGCAGCACTTTTTTATATGCACATGCGTAATAAACATTGCGTTATTTCTTGTTGCGCATACGTGACTCGGGCAGCGTCACGTGCACCTATGTAGTCTTTGTCTTTTCCGGTATTTCGCTATTGGCTGCTTGAGCCCAGCACTTCCGGGCGATGAGCGACGGTTTCCAAATCTGGAGAACCGAGCGATCGCGCGAAAACAAGCACGCGACACGTCGTGCGAACGCCCTGTTTCGTCGCTCATAGCGTCGCTCGTCGCTGTCGCGTGCATTTTCGCGCTTATGAGGTTTGGCCCTTACTTATAACATAACAATTTTTTGCGGCCTCGAAGAGTTTCCATCAGCGCATAATCTGACATCCCCTCGGTGGTGACGACACGGTTGTCCAAAGTTAAGAAAAGTCACAGTTTCGTGGCAAGATTGAAGCAATATATACAACGTGGAACAACGTGGAATGTAACGCTGAGAACAGCAAGCAGATCAAAATGTGCAGTGTGCTGCTCATGCACAAATGACGCACGAAAACAATATAAACAGGACTAGAGTGAACTAACAACGTTTACTGCTTGACACATAGTGCACTGTTTAAATAAAAAAGTCCCGAGTTTGGTGTAAAGGCGAAGCTATGAACGCGATAGCAACAAATTTGAAGGTCACCCGCAGAATGGCAAGCAGATCGAAACGTGCCCCACGTTTCTCATATGCACAAATGACGCACGAAACCTACTCAAAGGTACAGATGAATGCGAATAAGCGTCTCAGTTGTTACTTCACTCCGTCTGAACAGCGCGCCTTTTCACAAATGAAGACTGTGCAACAATTGCAGTGACCTTTGTGCACCCGGTAACTGCAACAGAATCATTCTGGTGAAAGTCCATAGCCAGGCAAGACGTACGATCCTCCCCACCACAGAGATAAGGGCATGCGAGTGAGCGTCCCTCTCTCCTCTTCGCAGGGCAAAGTACCCGTGAAGATGAGAGTGCTCGCCTCCGGGACGTGACAATGTGGCGACGCGCGCTCATTGCGCCATCTTGCTAGTAATGTTGAAAACATAATAGTTCACTCCCAGGGATTCCCGTCACCAGAGGTAAATGGTAGATATAAATAACTCGCCGTTTGAACATTCAAGAACGTGCTCCTCTGTTACTCAGTGGTTAATACCTTACCCTTACGGTACAGAGATCCCACATTTGATTTCGCGTGCCGGAGTCTTTTTCTGGATTATTTTTCTTTTTTGCATTTTCATATATATAGATGTGTATACATATACAGCGATTGACGGCAATGCCGACGACAACGACGCCAGTGGCTATATTCAGCCAAGAGTGTCCATATCATTGCTATCGCAATAAAGATAAAACTAGGCACAAAACGTAATCACAGGTACAGATACGAGTGCAAACTAACAAGTGCCCGTTGTTACTTCGCTGTGTTTGAAAAGCACACTATTTTAGCAAACGGCGCCTGTCCAGCGAGTGAAGTGATCTCTGTGTGCCTGGCAACTAAACGCAATTGTTCCGGTCAAAGTCAAAAGCGTGCAATTCTCTCCACCGAAGGATAAGTGCGAGCGAACAAGCATCTACCTTTCCACTCGCAGGGCAAAGTACGCTTTGGTGTCAAGGTGTGCGCTGGCGCACCCTGACGAGCTAAGCTGAGACTGTTCATCTAATTGATATTGCAATAAAAAAAAGCAAAGCTTAACATTGTCAGGGCCCGCACCATGTGCGCGCAATGAAACTATGCATGCGCGCGCGGTGTCAAAAACGAGGAGTGAACGACACGGACGCAGACACGGATGTTGTGGAAACTATTCGGTAAAGCGCCCTCTATATGCAGAGCCGGCCGTACATATGTGACACTAACTAAAAGCTTGGCACTGCCCAACCTAGTCAAGTAACTTTGACAGTGCCAATGCGCAAAGGTAGTTTTCTTTTTGATTCGGAGTGGGAAGGGGAGTGGGGTGCACACCTGCGTATGCGCCCTCCGAGGTCAGAACGGCAGCAACGCCGGCTTATGGGTTGCAGGCCCGCCTGCCCGCCTCATGCTCACCAGCGCGCACTAACGAGCGCTCTAACTAACGTGTGCCATGCGCTCTGCCACCGCTTCGCACTTCGCCTACGGTGGAGCAGCCACGGAAGATGCATGCTCGTACCAAAACGCCAAAATAAGGAGCAAAATTCTTAAATTATCCATGGGTAAAATTCGTTATATCAAGGTTGTCTCCCGCTGTTACTTTGTTACATAGAGGTCGCAAATACATGTGCTTCTATGCAGCAACGGTGGGAAATATCAAAACTTCGTTATATCGAGGCATTTATTATATGGAGCCTCGTTATAGGCAGGTTTAAAAGTTTACATCAAATGTATGCATATGTAAGCGATTCTCACACCAACACTCATAGTTTTTCCTTTTTGTCAAGAAGCAGAAATGACTGGAACAAGCTTTAAAAAAATTACTATGGAGCACTCTATCGACTCGTTCTCACTGCTGTTGCGCATCGTTCGAAAGCAAAATATGTAATTTTGAATTTATTGAGTGAATTCAAAGCCATGTCTATTCAAATTGTGCACACACCCTTTTTTGATTGTTTTGCATCCACTGTCGTTGACACTGTTCTGCTGTTGAGCTGTGCATAGGTGTTCTTGTCAGATTGTTTTCTGCCAAGCATAATGCAGTTCACTTTGTGAAAATGTTATCACCCCTCCTGTATGGTTGTTTTCCCCGCATAGCACACATGTCCTGTGGATTAGTCATAGTTAGCGTGGTTAGTTGCATTGTTGAGCAAGAGATAGCAGGGTGGGCGTGCGTTGGCGCAGTGATGCTGCTTGGTGGGAAGCAAGGTTATCCGTGAGCTTGTGAAAGAGAACTTTCTCTCTTTTGGGACTAGGCATGGTCGGCAATAGACCGCTCTCAATGAGGTCCATGGGCACAATTCCATGGTTTGCAGGGTCATGGACCCTCGTGGCGAGTTGAATGTTGGGTTGACATTACATTCGTGATACATTGTATGTGTTATATTGTTTTGTGCATATTATGTGCTTTGTGTATTGTATTGGATTTGGTATTCAACTATTTGTGAAGTTACTAGTAGTTCAATTCAGCTGGCAAGCTCAACGTGATGTAAAAGCGGTTAGTAAATGTCCCCGAGTTTCTTGCACGACTGTGTCAGTGTGTTCCACGAACAAGGCTCATTTTGTGAACCCCACAGCATTGATATAGCCTTTTTAAAGCACATTATTTTCTTTGTACTTCACAATCCTGCATTCGCAACACAAAAAGCAACTGGTAGCGATTTCAAATAAACTAATCAGCAGGTAACTAGGTAAAGATGTTTCCAAGCTCACCCTGCTTGACATTTTGCTCAATAGCTCTAGCATTTCACAGCCTTTGTGTAGGGCATTGGAAAGGAGGGGTCGACTCACTTCCGAGGTCAGTGCTGCCGAGTGACCACAGCCCCCGTAGGCATCGATGATCTTATGGTCAGCCAGGCTGGCCACTGGCCGAGGATGCCTCTCGTCGGCACAGCTGCCGTGCCCGAGCTGGCCATGCACTCCCCAGCCCCAGGTGAAGAGGCTAAGTTGTTTGTTTGCAAGGGCAAAGGAATTAGTCAAAGTGCTTCTCCCTGTATGACATCACACAACACTAAAATGAAGCACAAACACAAGCAAAAGCAGAGATCCCAGCAACTGCCCCACTCTATATCTCATCACTAGAAGTGTGCTAACATTTTGAATACTTTTTGAATATAGCCTATTTAATTTGATTCGTACTGGAATTTTTCTATTTGAAGCATTATAAATTCAAAAAAAAAGATACACAACAGTTTATATTCATGGGAAATAAATAAAACAGCGATAAATCAGTGTGCAGAGTGTTTGGTCTGGAGTTTTAGGTTGATGATGGACAAAACTGCAACCCACTTTCACCAGTGCTCCAAGAGGCCGCTGCACAACGAGCTTGACTGGAGAGGGGTGGGGGGTCTGGCTCGTGATGCGTAAAAGGCCCACCCTCAGTTGCGAGGAGCCAGCGGGCGATGCAATTCATTGCTTGCTACAATGCACACTGCGGCTTCTTTGCTTTCACATGTTCGCTAGAGCCATACTCGTGCCCACAAGGCTCGGATTTGTCATGTAGGCGCCGTGAATAGAGCTAGGCCCAGCCCCGACTCCGACTAGTGTACACTTGGTCGCAGTGTGCGTGGCTGCATTCCTCAATGTTTCAAAGCATGCCATGCCTGAGTGCAAGAACAAAGAATCATCCCGTGATGTTCTTTGTCGCGATGTCTGAAGTGCTGCAATACAGATGATCTGAAACATATGCCTGCGATGCTCGCAAGAAGAGCGGCACACTATCGTAACCTTATCATTGAGCTTGCACTTACAGGCACCAAACTAAAGCGTAATTATACTCTAAACCAGGGGTCGGCAACCTGTGGCCCGGGAGGCAGTATTACGTGGCTCCCGCACAATGTCACAACCAATCCCTTCATTTTTTTCACTGTCTATCTGAAGGTCGACTTGACATTTATGACCTCAAAGGGGATTTGCACTTGTAACCTAAGTTTGTAAAATGCAACATTGGGACAGCCCAGCCGTGGTGGTCTAGTGGCTAAGGTATCCGGCTGCTAACCCTCAAATCTCAAGATGTAATCCCGGCTGCCGCGGCTGCATTTTTGCTGAAGGCAGAAATGCTGTAGGCTCGTACATGTGCTCAGATTTGGGTGCACGTTAAAGAACTCCAGGTGGTCGAAATTTCTGGAGCCCTCCTCAGAGAAAGAAATGTCAGAGAGGGTTCCTCCATAAGGAACCCTCTCTGACATTTCCCTTACCAGAGAGGGTCCCTCTGCATGCTGATGCCGCGAGGGGCACTGCTGCAAGAGGCGCTGCATGGGAAACACCATGGACAGCCACTGCCGTCGCAAATCACGCCCAATCCCGGTTCCCGGTTTGTTACCTAATCCACTCTGCTCTCTTCGTGTTTCTTATGGTTACACCTACCATTTTCCTTTCCATTGCTCGCTGCGTCGTCCTCAATTTAAGCTGAACCCTCTTTGTAAGTCTCCAGGTTTCTGTTACGTAGCTAAGTACCGGCAAGATATAGCTACCGGGTGGCAAGATGTAGCTACCGGGTGAGAGGGGTTAAACGTGACTGCCTGCTCTCCCAGCACAGCAGACCACGGAGGAGGGGGGCTATGTCAGGACATAAGAGCGGAGAAAGAGGCGTCAAAGCCCGCGCAAAGACGGCGGGCTCGCCTCAATTCCCCTGGGATAGGGGTCTGTAACAGTTCTAAAGCTCTAATAACAAATCGAATAGTGTTCTATTCAATTATATTCTCGCAAATCGAATTGCACATATTTGAAATGCCAAGTATTCTATAGAATATTTAGCACTGGTGGAAAAACCCCAAAGGGGTTTAGCAAGTTTAGCAACTTGGCCGCTAGGTACAACGAGCACAAGCCATGGCTGCCCGCTAGAATGGAAGACGATGTTCTGCGGCAGCGCGCACTCTGGTTAGTTGTTGATTATTGAAGCAGCCATCTTGCCAGTTTTCGGTGCGTCTACCCGCCGGCTCAGTTCTTCCGAGTTGAAGACCTTTTGTAGCACGTGACAACTGGTGGAGCTGCTGGGTAAGCTGCACAGTGTCAGGACTGATCAAAGCGTCGCAAATGTGTGGAAGCATCGCATCCAGCATGGTCTGGACCTCATGTCCATAGACAAGATGGAAAAGCGTGAATCGCGTAGTTTCCTGGACGGCAGTATTGTACGCGAATGTGACGTACGGTAGCACCTGGTCCCAGGTCTTAAGCTGGACATCTACGTACATGAGTAAGATGTCAGCGATGGCCTTGTTGAGTCGCTCTGTCAAGCCGTAGCTCTGCGGTTAATATACCCTGGTCTTGCAATGGCTCGTGTAGCTGAGCTTAAATACGTCATGAATGAGCTGGGTCGTGAATGCTGTTCCTCTGTCTGTGATTATGCACGACGGGGCGCCATGTCGAGGAACGATCTGGTCTATAAAGAATTGGGCAACGTCGGAAGCCGTAACGCGTTGTAGTGCCTTTGTTTTGGCGTACTTTGTCAAAAAGTAGGTGGCTACTACGATTCACTTGTTGCCGGCAGATGATAGCGGAAAGGGCCCCAGTAAATCCATTCCTATTTGATCGAATGGCACTCTCGGTGGTTCTATTGATTGAAGAAGCCCCACGGGTTTTAGTGGCGGAGATTCCCAGCGTTGACATTCCCAGCAGCTTTTCACGTATCGCTTTATGGATGCGGAAAGCTTAGGCCAGTAGTACGCTTGTCGAACTCGAGCGAGTGTTCGAGAGGAACCTAAGTGACCACATGTGGGCTCATCGTGGCAGGCGAAAAGAATGTTGTCACGCATGTCAGTTGGCACAACTAGAAGATATGTTCTCTCATTGACATTGGAGTTTTTCTTATACCGGACTCCATCCCACAGACAGAACGATGACAGACCTCGAGAAATACATCGAGATATGGAAGAGTTGCGTCCTTCAAGGTTTTCGATAACTGCGTGAATTTTGTCCTCCGCACGCTGTCGTGTAATAAATCCGTTGTAGATAGGGCCCCAAGAAAACCATCGTCATCCTCGGTGTCTTGGCCACAAACTTCTACAGGCGCACGGGACAATGAATCAGCACCTTCGTGCTTGCGACTCGATTTGTAAGCGATCATGAAATCGTATTCCTGCAGACGAAGACTCCATCATGCCAGTCGCCCACACGGATCCCATAGGTTGGCTAACCAGCACAACGAATGATGGTTGGTCACTATATTGAAGTGGCGTCCATAAAGGTAAGGCCTAAATTTTATCGTGGCCCATACAACAGCGAGGCACTCTTTCTCTGACCTGAAGTAGTTGACCTCGGCGCGGGAAATAGTGCGGCTAGTGTTTGATATCACTCGCTCTGTGCCCTCTTGTTGTTGGACGAGGACAGCACCAAGACCCACGTTGCTGGCGTCAGTATAAATTTCAGTATCAGCGTCTTGGTCAAAGTGAGCGAGGACTGGTGGTGTTTGCAAACGGTCCCGTAGTTCAGAGAAAGCTGCGTCCTGTTCTTGCTCCCAGATCAATGGAACATCTTCACGAGTGAGTCGAGTCAGCGGTTCCGAAATCTTAGAAAAATTGGCTATAATGTGGCGAAAGTACGTGCAGAGCCCTAGAAAGCGACGTACTGCCTTTTTATCATGTGGAACAGGAAACGAGGCCACGACGGCACTTTTGTCAGGGTCTGGTCGAATACCATCTGCACTGACAACATGGTCGAGAAACGAAAGTTCCTTGTAACCAAAATGGCATTTTTCTGGCTTCAGTGTCAGGTTAGCAGAGCAGAGCGCTTCCAGCACATTCTGCAGACGCTTCAGGTGCCCCTCAAAGGTCGCAGAAAACACGACAACATCATCCATATTACCACGTGCTTGCTCAAGAAAGAAGATGGCAGTTGTGCATGTGCCACGAAGGTTTACGCTTGTGCGAAGAATAACTGCTTGCGCGTTCTAATTTAAAAAAAAGGCCGACTGGCTTTTGGTGTCTCAATGTCTGGGGAAAGACTTCTGTTTTGACGTCGTGACACTGGTGGAGGTGCTGGAGCCTACAATCGGATGCAGGACAGTCTTGCTCGGACCCGTTCACCTAGTCCAGAGACCCAGCCCCTTGTCACGACTCCGGTGCACCGATTCAGTCGGCGCCTACTAGGCCTAAGTCTGGAGTCCGCACAGTTCCACCTCTTACCAGTATGGCAGCTCCTACCACATCCACGGCTACCGTTCCATCGCAGACCACTCTTCCCTCGCAGGTGACTCTTGAACATCCTCGCGTTCCTAAAGTTTTCCATCGGGAAGACTACGAGGATGTCGAGGACTGGCTCGAACAGTTCGAACAGGTCGCTGTATCTAACCACTGGAAAGAACAGCACAAACTTAGCCGTGCATATTTCGCTCTGCAAGATAGCGCTCGCACGTGGTACGAGAACCGCGAGGCTACTTTCCAATTTGGGAAGATTTCCGTTGAAAGCTCCTCGCCACATTTTCGAACTCGGGCGGACGGGATCGCGCACAGCAACTGATTGTGGCTCGCGTGCAAAAACCCAACAAAACAGCCGCCATGTACGCAGAGGGTATGATCCGTCTGTTTCTACGAGCTGACCTTGACATGTCCGAGGCGAAGAAGGTGCGTCACATAATGCAGGGTGTCAAAGAACCAGTGTTCGCGGGCCTCGTACGAAATCCACCTACAACAGTAGATGAATTCATAAAAGAGGCGACTGTCATCGAGCGCGCACTGCAACAATAATACCGGCACTTTGACCGCCTGCCGAACTACGCGGCAGTAAGTGCTGCAGCTCAGAACACTGCCGTATGCGAAAGGTCCTTATGACAAATGATAAGGGAAATACTGTGTGAGGAACTTCGGGCCCTCTCGGTTCCTCCTACCCAACCACCCGTCGCATCTGTTACCGAAATCGTCCGCCAGGAGTTGAGGCAAGCCGTTACACCAGCTACATTGATGCGGTCCGTCGTGCTCCACCGTCATTTGTGGGAACACCCTTCCA